GAGTGCAGTGGCGTCAGCCTAGCTCACAGCAACCTCCAAACTACTGGGCTCAAGCAATCCTACTGCCTCAGCCTCCCGAGTAGCTGGGACTACAGGCGTGTGCCACCATGCCCGGCTAATTTTTCTATATATATTAGTTGGCAATTAATTCTTTCTATTTATAGTAGAGAACGGGTCTCTCTTGCTCAGGCTGGTTTCGAACTTCCTAACCTCGAGCTATCCACCTACTCAGCCTCCAGAGTGCTAGATTACAGGCGTGAGCCACTGCACCCAGCCGAGCTAGATGTGTATTATGTGTTCTAACACACAAAATACAATTAGACAACAGCGCATATTTTTCATCTAAAGCCTGAGTACAGGACTCTGTGAAGACATCTCCAACTCCGGCCATATACAGAGCAACAGGGAAGTTTGTATGCTGAGGATCATGATGCCAAGTTATGGAGTGCATGTTAAGAAAACCCAACACCCCAACCAGGAGCATCCCAATTCAGACAAAAATATGTTAATGATATATTAAAGAAAAAAAAAAGAAAAAAAAGAATTTAAGTCAGAACTCCTATAGGCTCCAACTACAACTATATGCAAACTATTTCAAAACTTCATGGGTTATAAAGTTTTAACAATGCAAAAACCAGGCTTACAGTGACCGACTCTTTGAGACAGTCTCACAGAAAGCACGAGCCATGCTCACTAAAAAAATATCCTGCAGGCCGGGCGTGGTGGCTCACGCCTGTAATCCTAGCACTTTGGGAGGCCGAGGCGGGCGGATTGCTCAAGGTCAGGAGTTCGAAACCAGCCTGAGCGAGACCCGTCTCTACAAAAATAGAAATAAATTAATGACCAACTTAAAATATATATACAAAAATTAGCCGGCATGGTGGCGCATGCCTGTAGTCCCAGCTACTCGGGAGGCTGAGGCAGTAGGATCGCTGAGCCCGGAATGAGTTGCTGTGAGCCAGGCTGACGCCACGGCACTCACTCTAGCCTGGGCAACAAAGTGAGACTCTGTCTCAAAAAAAAAAAATAAATAAAAATAAAATAAAATTTTCCTGCAGTATCACCAGCAACAAAGCCAACATTGGGCTACGGAGACAACTAGTCTGCCTAGCACAGAGGTCTTCATTTTGACAAAATGTTGGCTTTTCGCCTTCATTATTCTTACTCTGAAGTCAGACGTAGCTCATGTTATGTTGGTTACATGGGAGATCTAGAGGTAGGGCAATAGTGGTTCTAAAAGCCAAAGTTGCAACTAAAATCACTCACCCGCTGCTCACCTCCTGCTGTGCAGCTCAGTTCCTAACAGGCCATGGGTCCTAACAAGCCATGGACCAGTACCAGCCTGCGGCCCAGCAGTTGGTTGAGTGCAGCTTTAAAATAATGAAAGCTCAGTTCAAAGAAAAAACTACCACCAAAGGAAGTAAGCACTAATACCTTAAGTATAACAAAATCTAAGTACAAATTGATTTCCGTTATAAAAACTTCAACTGCCAATAGTTTTAACATTAGGAAACCTCACATGAAACAAAATTCACCACTATATCCTTTGACAAGAGAGCTCTCAAAATAGTCACTGATGAAGCAAACTAGGGACAAACTTGGGTTCCAAGGTTACCCTCTTTGGATGTACATTTTCCGCTTTTCTGAGGAGGCAGGGAAGTACTGGCCACTTCCCTGGCAGCCTAACACCAAGCAGAATATTCCAAGTGGCTGTTAAATCCAATGTCAGACCATTTTTACTGAACAAACACACGTGTTCTCTACTCTAACCTCCAGTGCTCTAACACTGCAAAGGGAAGGGCACTAAAGATTCCAGAACCTCCAGAAAACAAAGCTTTTCTACTGAGACAAATTACACTACCTTCCCTCCAGTTGCTACCTTACTGTTCCAAATTTACTAACCAACACTATATTTTCGGCCAGGTGCAATAGTTCACGCCTGTAGTCCTAGCACTTTGGGAGGCCTAGGCAGGAGGATTGCTTGAGGCCAGTCTGAGCAGCATAGTAAGACTGCTGTCTCTGCCAAAAAAAATAAATTTAGCCCAGGCCTGGTGGCGCCCACTGTAGTCACAGCTCTTTGGGAGGCTAAGTAGGACTGCTTGTGCCCAGAAGTTTGAGGCTGCAGTGAGCTATGATGACACCACTGCATTCTAGCCCAGGGAACAGAGCAAGAGCCTCTCAAAAATAAACAAAACCCTACCTTTTCTCTTAAGCCTCAATAAAATGATCACTTCCATTCCTCCTTGACCCACTCCCTACTCATGACAGGAAATGGTTTGAGCAAAAAGCTGGACCTGGAGAAGCCCTTAGCAGGCTGAGGATTACAACTACTTTTATCATTCTGCTATATCATAAAGAACTATACTCATTCTATTTCAATTTATCACAAAACACAAACTTCACAGAACTATCAATTCAACTATCCCTCACCTCTGGGTATCCCATGATCACAAGGCTCAACTTTTATTTCCAATCCTTATCCTAACTGACCTTCAGTAGCCTCTGACATCTGTTCATTCACACCTTTGCAAAGCACTTTCTTCACATGCACATGGGTCTCCTCAGTTTCCTCCTCGCTTTCAGCCTGCTTCTTCTCAAAAGTCTCTTTGCTGTGCTGCCCAGGCCCAATCCCAAACACTGGAGTGATCCTGTTCAGTTTACAGTTTCTCATTACTCATTTGATTCCAGAGCCTCAGCCTTCCTCTCCCCTCATCCACACCAGTCGACATGCCAACAGCATTTCTTATCCCTCTGCTCTCTCCTTCATTCACAGCACTGGTTCCCCAAACTTCACACGTTTTTCTCACCATTCAGGTCTCTGTATGTCCCTGAGGTACAGGAAAACATTTGAGCAGACCTGAATGAAACAAACTGATCTGAATGAAAGAACTCCATCATTGTGCCAAAGTCGTCAAGGAGTAAAAGGCTGAGCACCATAAGGCCATTAGCTCCACATATACGTGTGGACAATGAGATTCCAAAACGCATCAGAAATAGCTCATTATCTACTCATCTACTTATTTATCATCCATGTTCTTCCCCAACTATAAAAAAGACTATTACTGACACAGTACCCCTAGTGCCTGGCACAGAGCAGGTGTCCAATCTATACCTAACAATAAACACTTGTAGAAAATGCCCTCATTCTGATTCTTCTTCTCACCCCTGTTCCAGAACAATGCTACACAGGGCTCTGACCAAGGAAAACATGGCTGAAATTGTCACTACAGTCAGCTCCCTCTGACTTCTTCCACTAAGGATTTACCAAACATTCCAGGTTGTGCATTATACCCAACTCCCCTACAGCTAAGCTGCTTTTGACTAGAGGAAGTCATTAATCCACATTGATTGCCATACTCACAACAATCTACAGTAAACAATTTTCCTACACCAGGTCAAATAGCAAGCAACACCCCAAGGAGCCGTGGCACAAGGTTTGGCATTCATTTTGTATTTCCTGTCAAAAAAGCCAGCTTGAGATTTAAGACATCTGAGTGGCTTTCCAGAAGATGTCCCCTCAATGGTAATAATAAAAGCAATGAGGCCGGGCGTGGTGGCTCACGCCTGTAATCCTAGCACTCTGAGAGGCCGAGGCGGGCGGATTGCTCAAGCTTAGGAGTTGGAAACCAGCCTGAGTGAGAGACCCCGTCTCTACTAAAAATAGAAAGAAATTAATTGACCAACTAAAATACATATACACAAAAAATTAGCTGAGCATGGTGGCGCATGCCTGTAGTCCCAGCTACTTGGGAGACTTGAGGCAGTAGGATCGCTTGAGCCCAGGAGTTTGAGGTTGCTGTGAGCTAGGCTGACGCCATGGCACTCTAGCCCGGGCAACAGAGTGAGACTCTGTCTCAAAATAAAATTAAAAAAATAAAATAAAAATAATAAAATAAAAGCAATGATTAATCATGAAGAAAATGTTCCCTAGCCCATGGACATTTCACCCTTAAAATGAGTGCACAGTTTTCATGTCCTGTGAAGTAGCTGTAACATCTTAAAATGGTGGCAATCTTCATGACTCTATTTCTCCAGGTGGCTCAATCACTGCAGATAATCCTCCACACTTTCATCTTCTTGAATTCTATTTAATCTTGAATAAATGCACATTTCACAAAAGTAGCCTTTTATCTGTTTTGTTTATCTGAAATGGACTTAAAATTTTACAGGTCTATATTCACTGGATAGTATGTTATTTCTTGAAAGAGTAACATAACACAAAACTACAAAACAAATGTTATCCCCAACTTATTTTTTAAAAATCAAAGAATTTGGCCGGGCGTGGTGGCTCACGCCTATAATCCTAGAACTCTGGGAGGCTGAGGCGGGCAGATTGCTCCAGGTTAGGAGTTCGAAACCAGCCTGAGCAAGAGCAAGACCCTATCTCTACTATAAATACAAAGAAATTAATTGGCCAACTAATAGATATAGAAAAAATTAGCCGGGCATGGTGGCGCATGCCTGTAGTTCCAGCTGCTGGGGAGGCTGTGACAGGATTGGATTGCTTGAACCCAGGAGTCTGAGGTTGCTGTGAGCTAGATTGATACTGCAGCACTCATGCTAGCCTGGGCAACAAAGCGAGACTCTGTCTCAAAAAAAAAAAAAAAATCAAAGAATTTGGGGAAGAGAATGTACCTTGCTTGATCAAAAGTCTTGGTAACATTCACCTTGAAATCAGCAAACTCACTCAGAATCTTCAAAGAACTACAGGCTGACCTAAAGCATACTTTTTGCTATAGCTATGTTAGACTTGCATTACTTAGTTGTGATATCTCAATATAAACAACTTTACAAAAATCTGACAACGTTACAGACAGAATTTTATACCAATGAAATTCATTCGATAATATAAAATCTCACCAAACCATCAAAATCTATAATCTGAAGGGCATCAGAGATTTTTGCCTATTAAAGGAAGACAGGTTCAACCTAAAAAACCTTCACTGCCTACATGCCACCCATGTTGGAGTGTTCCATGAAGTCTCCCAAAATGCACCTACCGTCCCAGCCAGGATGTCATGAGGGCAGCAGTCCAGAAGGTGACTCTTGCAGACACGGTCATCTGTAAACTTGACCCTCTGTCTGGTTTCGTCTCCTGAAATTCATTTGTGGTTTTAAATAAGACAATATTATCATGTTAACCACAAAAGATTATCTAGTACAACAATTCATCTGAATGATTTGCAGGCTATCATTTTTGTGTTCTCCCCATCAAATACAATGAAATGCTGACCTAAAGATATTTACAACTGGCATGGAATACACTTTTGTGGCTAAGTATATCATGAAGAATCACACTTAATGAGATCTGACTCCATCATTGTGCCAAAGTCGTCAGGAAGTCAGAAGTAAAAGGCTGAGCACTCAAAGGTCATTAGCCCCACATCTACATGTGGGCATTGTGAGGTTCCAAAGACCCATGCCAATCAGAGGGCCACAAATAACCACATATGACTTACATAGCTGGTAATTTCCACCAACAAAAGCGACTCATTAATCTTTTTGTATCGAGAGATGCATAGATAGGCAGTGTTTTGCCAAAAATTACATGAAGAAAGCTTTCTAACTTTACCGATGACTATTAAATAATCTAGACCTATTCTTCCTATCCCCCTTGCAGCCCCACCCTTAACAAAGAGAGTTGGCACCTGGGAGTCACTTTTAACAAGACAATACCAAAAAAAGCAAAAAAGGAACTAGGTTAGTCAATACACACTGTGAGTTCCAACACATACTGTACCCATCTGCATTCTTCAAGACCTCAGCTGCAGAATTTTATGCCCGCTGTTGAAAAGTTTTAAAGGAAAAGTTTTCTTGCCCACACCTGCAGTAAGGAAGTCAGGGGGAATGATACATAAAAGTAAAGGCAAAGTGGTATGTGACAAATTTTAAAGGTAAGCTGTGTATATGACACAGAATTGTGTAATACTAAAGGAGGAATATATTTCAGGATTTGCAAGCATCCAGGATTAATGTAGTGTCTTTTTATTGAAAATGTTTTCTTTCTAAACTACACTTTTAAAGTTACTTGTGAAAAAAAGCAAACACTTTTTTGTTATAACAGCTTAGAAATTGGTTGTGACTCACGGCTCGATGAACATGAGGCTTTTCTGCAACTCCCTTGCAGATTGATGTAGGCAGGCAAAGATACACTGAACCTTTATAAATAAAATAGAGGGGCCACAATTGTTCAGTTTGTATGAAATAAAAATATGGGAAGCAATTCAAAAGCAACTCAATATACAAAGAAAGCTAAAAAGCACTTATTCACCTATGAAATAAAGTGCAAAGAATCTGCACAGCCCTGCGAATGTGCCAGTGTGAACTTACAACTTCATTACTTCAGTAGAAAAGAAAACACAAATCACAGCAGGTATATAGTTTTGCAAAGATGCAACCGCTTTCTCCGAGACAACCATCATGATTTTGCACTCCTCCCTACAGTACAACCTACCTACCGACTGCCAAGCGCTGGCTAAACAGAGGCTCTCCTGTGTGGCAGGGGGAGGGGGAGGCTGGAAAAATACTCGGCAGGAACCCACGTTAGAAAAGCTCATTTTACAGCTCCCCTTGCAATGGTACAGAACAACAACGGCCCGGGGTCTGGAGGCCCTTCCAGCTCCCGCGGGTGTAGCTTCTTCCCCGAGGAGCCTCGGCGAGTTCCGCCACCCGGCTGCCAGCGACCTGGCAGCCTACGCTGGTTCCAGTGCCCAGTTTGCGGAGGGGCGCCGGCTGGGGAGGAAGCCGCAGGACGGTAAATGGGAGCCCCACCAGCGGTGCGGACTCCGAAGGAGAAGCCCGCCCGGGACCCACGGCTGGACAGGAAAAAACCCGGCCACGGCCGCCTAGGAGGCGAACAGCCTTAGACAAAGGCCCGGCGCCCGCTGTCGGCGTGCGGGAGAGGGGGAGCGGCGCCTCGCGCAGGCGCAGACAATCGCGGCCCCCGCCTCAGGCCGCCCGGCGACCTCGCCTCACTCCCGCCCCAGCCCCTCGCCTGGCCGGCCGCCCTGACTCACCGTCCCGAGCCGTGCCCATGAGCTGGTCCAGCAGGGCCCGCATCTGCGCCTGGGCGGACATGGTGGCCGGCGGGGGCGGCGGTGGGGGGACCGCGACGGCTCCTCAGGGGGCGGCGGAGGCGGCGTGGCAGCAGCGACGAAAGATGGTTGCGTCGGCCTCGAGCCCGCTCGGCTCTTTTCCGCCGCGGGGGACGCCGGGAGGAAGTACGTTGCGCCGGCGCGCGGCCTGCTGGGAAATGTAGTTTCCAGTGAGAGGGCGCGGAACTTAGACTTAGGCTTCAAATGGTTCATGCGCGTTGCCCAAGGGGCAGAGCCAAAATCCCAAACCTGATTTTACTTTGGATTCCAAGACCTCAAGTTCTGTTCTCTACTGAGGCTGAACTGCAATGAAACTTAGTCAATGCAAAACCAGAGAATATAGCCCGTGCTTTTCTGGCTATCCATGAACCCGCGAGCGTATTGTTCAGCTACTGTGACGCTCGGTGTTTTTCTTCCCTGAAATGGGAATTCTAAATGTGCCTGTCACGTGACTTATATAAAAGTTAAAGCAAGCAGGGAACTGATGTTAGGTTCTGTGATTACTACTTCGTGGTCATGACTGTCAGGTCGCATCCTGCCATCCAGAGGGTAAAAGGAGACATACATGTAGGCAATTACTGAAACGCCCCAAGGAGGAGGAGACTAAGACCGCTAAAAAATAAAAAAACTAAGATACACCTAATAAAATTAAGTTCTGAATTTGTGCATCAAAATGTATGTGAAAGTACAAAGGAAAATATAAAGTACAAAGTCCCTTGTATATGAGAGAAAATTCTATTTTGTTCCCTCTCTAAATTTTCATTTTACTTGACTATCAAAGGCTGTAATTGTTTCTCATATTATAAAAACAGCAACTGAGAATTGTCGAAAATTAGGAATGCCATAATTCTTGGAGTAAAAACCACACTTATACCATCAATCTTTGTTTTTCTTTTCTGACCTCCCATTCTCTCTACAGCCCATCAATCTTTAAAAGCCTTGAACCTGCCCGAAATCCATTTCAGTAGCTGAAGTTTCCCTATGTCTCCTCCTCTAATTAAGCTTATTTTTTAAAATATCAGCATAAAGGTTATAATAAATCTTGTTTAAAAATTCTTCTTCAGGCCAGGCTTGGTGGCTCATATGTGTACTCCCAGCACTCTAGGAGGCCCAGGGAGGAGGATTGCTTGAGGCCAGGAGTCTGAGGTTGCAGTGAGCTATATGATGAGGCCACTGCACTCTAGCCTCAGCAACAGAGCAAGACTCTGTCTCAAAAAAAAAAAAAAATTACTTGATATTCTTGTGATATAAAAATTTTTTTAATTGAAAAATTGAAAAAATTATTCAAAGAATGCATCAAGCCCACAGTTTTACTGGTGAATTCTACTAAACTCTAAAAAAACAACAGATCATTTCAATCTTTTTTTTTTCGTTGAGACAAAGTCTCACTCTATTGCCCAGACTAGAGTGCCATGGTATCAGCCTAGTTCACAGCAACCTCAAACTCCTAGGCTCAAGCAATACTCCTACCTCAGCCTCCCAAGTAGCTGGAACTACAGGCATGCGCCACCATGCCAAGCTAATTTTTTCTATTTTTAGTTGTTTGGCTAATTTCTTTCTATTTATAGTGGAGACAGAGTCTGGCTCTTGCTCAGGCTGGTCTCAAACTCCTGAGCTTAAGCAATCCTCCCGCCTCAGCCTCCCAGAGTGCTAGGATTACAGACATCAGCCACTGTGCCCAGCTAATCATTTCACTCTTATATAAACCCTTCCAGGCCAGGCACAGTGGCTCACACCTGTAATCCTAGCACTCTGGGAGGCCGAGGCAGGCGGATTGCTCGAGGTCAGGAGTTCAAAACCAGTCTGAGCAAGAGCGAGACCCCGTCTCTACCCATAAATAGAAAGAAATTAATTGGCCAACTGATAAATATAGAAAAAATTAGTTGGGCATGGTGGCACATGCCTGTAGTCCCAGCTACTCAGGAGGCTGAGTCAGGAGAATCCCTTGAGCCCAGGAGTTTGAGGTTGCTGTGAGCTAGGCTGACGCCACGGCACTCTAGCCCAGGCAGCAGAGTGAGACACTGTCTCAAAAAACAAAAAGAAAACAAAAACAAACAAAACCCTTCCAAAATATAGAAAAAGATGAAATACTCCCCTGATTAATTCTATGAGGCCTATATAAACCTGATACCAAAACAACAAAAGGATAGTAAAATAAAAGGACATAGTGGGCTCAGTGGCCCATGCCTGTAATCTTAGCACTTTGGGAGGCCAAGGCCAAAATATTACTTGAGCCCAGGAGTTTGAGATTGCTGTGACCCAGGCTGACGCCACTGCACTCACTCTAGCCTGGGCAACAAAGCAAGACTCTGTCTCAAAAAAAAAATACTATATAGAAATCTATATACTTTATTTCTATAACCACAAACAACAGAAGACATAATTTATTTTCTAAAGGCATCATTTTAATTATATATATTTATATTTAGAGACAGGGTCTCCCTCTGTTGCCCAGACTGAGTTCAATGGCAGACTCCTGAGTAGCGGACTACAGATGCATGCCACCAAGCTTGGCTATTTTTTTTTTTTACTGTTGTAGACACAAAGTATGTTGCCAAGGCTGGTCTCAAATTTAAGTGATCCTTCTGCTGCCCACTGCACAGAGAAGAGCCAATGTACTGAGATAGTCAGGAGTGCAATGGAGTTTTATTCCGCAGAGTGCCAAGCAAGGAAGACAGAAGTTTCTCAAATCTGCCTCCTGGAGAACTTGGGAGACAGGGTTTTTAAGGATAATTTGGCGGGAGCATTAGGCAATATGGCATTAGGCAATTAGGTTTGTTAATTGGGGCAAAATTATAGGGATGTGTAAATCATCTTCTTGTGTTGCTTCAGTCCCTGGGGTCACAATTCCGGTTGAATCAGTTTCTTGGTATTGGCCACTGGTCTGGGGAGCCAATAAGTCTGCTGGAATGCAGGACCTGAAAGGTATCTTAAAAACTACCCCTTAGGTTTCGAAAAGGTGATGTTATTTATGGAGAAGTTAAGAATCTTTATGACCACCAAGTGCGTGGCTCCAGAGTGGCAATTACAGGGAGATGGTTACTAATTGTTATCATTATTTTTAGCTAGATTTGTGCATTATTTTTAGCTAGGCCCTTACCACAGTTCTCACCTTGCACCCCATTATAGGAGGGCGGTTTCACACCCAAAGTGCTGGAATTACATACAGGGGATAAGCCATCTGGCCATTTTTTTCCTTTCTTTCTTTCTTTTTTTTTTTTTTTTTGACAAAGTCTTGCTCTGTTGCCCAGGCTAGAGTGCAAGCATTGTCATAGCTCAGTCCAACCTCAAACTTCTGGATTCAAGTGATCCTCCTGGCCAGGCACAGTGGCTCACACCTGTAATCCTAGCACTCTGGGAGGCCGAGGGGGGCAGATAGCTCGAGGTCAGGAGTTCGAAATCAGTCTGAGCAAGAGTTAGACCCCATCTCTACTATAAATAGAAAGAACTGATAAATATAGAAAAAATTAGCCGGGCATGGTGGCGCATGCCTGGAGTCCCAGCTACCTGGGAGGCTGAGGCAGGCAGTAGGATTGCTTGAGCCAAGGAGTTTGAGGTTGCTGTGAGCTAGAATGATGCCATGGCACTCACTCTAGCCTGGACAACAAAGCGAGACTCTGTCGCAAAAAAAAAAAAAAAAAAAGCGATCCTCCTGCCTCAGCCTCCCAAGTAGGTGGGACTATAGATGCATGCTACCAAGCCTGGCCAAGCAGCATTTTAAAAAATTTTTATTTTATTTATTTATTTAATATTTTATTTATTCTTATTATTTTTTTTTTCTGAGACCAGAGTCTCGCTTTGTTGGTCCAAGGCTAGAGTGGCGTGGCGTCAGCCTAGTGCCACAGCAACCTCAAACTCTGGGCTCGAGTGGACTTCTGCTCCAGCCTCCGAGTAGCCTGGACTACAGGCATGTGCCACCATGCCCGGCTAATTTTCATATATAGTAGCGCTCAGGTCTGGCAATTAATTTCTTTCTATTTATAGTAAGAGGGTCTCGTTTGCTCAGCTGGTTTTGATCCTCTACTTGAGCCATCCGCCGCCTCGCCGGCTCCCAGACTAGGAGTTACAGCGGCTCGGTAGCACAGCGCCCGCCTAAAAGATTTTTTTACATAGCAACTGTAGTGTACAGTGTAAGTTTTGTGACATGAATGTAGATTACGTACCGGTGAATCAGAGGGCTTTTAGTATCAAACCCCAAATAATGTATAATGTACCCCTTAAGTAATTTTTCACCTTCTACCCCCCGCCAATCTCTCACCCTTCCAAGTCCCCATTGTCTAGTCTATCATTCCACACTAAAGACACTATTTTCAAAAGCAATGAAAACCACAAAATACCTAGGAATAAATCTAACACAATATTCAAAACATTTGCATGCAGGGAAAATAAATCTTATTAGAAGGCAATAAAGAAGGCCTAAATACGTGGATACATAGTCCATGCTCTTGTTTAAGATGACAGGATCTTGTCAGTCTGCCCCTACAGGGATTTAGAGTCAGTATGACTCTTAAAAACCCTAACAGGGTTCTTTTGTGAAACTTGGCCTGATTGTAAAATTTTACTGAAGAATAAATGGCTGAATTTTTCCCACAGAAGAATAAGGGAGAATTACTTGCCTAACTAAATATAATATCATGAGTCATTATAAGGATATTATAATTGACACTATGTGGTCTATTGACCCATAATAAATGAATGAGGCAAAGAGCATAATCAAAGGAGGTTTCTTTTCTTTCTTGTTTTTTTTTTTTTTTTTTGAGATAGAGTCTCACTCTCTTACCAGGACTAAAGTGCTGTGGTGTCAGCCTAGCTCACAGCAACCTCAAACTCCTGGGCTCAAGTGATCCTCCTG